ACAAAGTATATGTGAACTGCTGTATGGAAAGTGAATTTGCTCTGTAAATCTTCACCCAAATCACAATTAAAAAAAAAAAAAGTAATCATGGCATGTGGGTGGGCCAGTGGCATTCTGTGTATTTGCATCACTTTGATTTGATTGTTTGCCTTTCTTCTTACTGATTTGTAGCCATTCCTTATTGATTATATTAACCTTCTGTCTTTCAAAGGCATTAAAAATATTTTCTCATATTTAGTTTCTTTTATTTTAACTTTGTTTTTATATCTCTTGACATACTGAGGTTTCAAAGTCATATGCCATCAAACCTGCCAATCTCTTTAAGGCTTCTAGGTTTTGTAGCTTGCTCTTATTACTTTATAATGAAAAATAAATAAGGAGAATACTCAGTTCAGAAAAAGAGAAAAGAACATGAAGTAGCAGCAACAAAATGGGTAACTAAATTACAGAGATAACCTGAAATCTCACATTTACTTTCAACTCTAATGGCCACTTTAATAGGCTATCCTCATGGAGCTGTTTGAGGGAACAAAGTCAAGTGGACTGGGCTTTTGAAAGCTGAATAGGATTTAGATAGGTGGAGGAGAAAAGAGAAGGTGTTGCAAGCGAAAGGAACAGCATAGAGTAAATGCTGGAGGCACAGATAAACTTGGCTGAAATGGCCCTTGCTGGTCAGGGCATGTACATTGGGAACAGTAGGAAATGAGCTTGACCAGCTGGTGGAGAACAGTCTTTGAAGAACAGGACAGTGGATGAATACAGTGGTGACAAGTGAACATCTGAATTAGGGGAAAGGCATCAAATGCAAAAGGACACATGCTGCAGTGTTACCAATAAAGTTAAAAAAAAAAAAAAGTGGGGTAAGCAAACTAAGTATCCAACAAAAGGGAAGTGGTTGAGTAAATTTAAGTATAGCCACATCATGGAACACTTATGTTGAGAATTACCATTTTTGAAGGCTGTGTGGAAAAACATGAAAATTAGAGTAAAAAAAAAGATGATTAAAAAGCATATAAAATCATAATTATGATTACAGCTATTTAAGGAAATAGGCACATGACAAAAAGATTGAAAAGGACTACTTCAAAATTAAGAGAGATGCATTTGGATGATGACTGATTATTTTCCTCTTTTAAAAATCTTTATTTATTGTTGTCATTCTCTATTTATAGTATTTTTATTTTTTTTAAGAGGCAGGTGTTAGTAGGTTGGAGAATCAGCAGAGGCTTTTCAAGGCTTCCTGAAGGTGAACTAGGGACTGAGGGCTGTGTGCTGCTTGGGAAGTGGGAGGCTGGGTCTCCCGTTAGGGATGTGTGACCCGGGAGGAAGGGCCTCCTTCCAGGCTTGGTCTCTAAGAGAGGGCCCACTGGTCCCTTAGTTTATAATCTGGGGATGATAAAAGTCCTTCCTTGTTTTCCAGGGTCTCCTCATGCTGCTACAGAACCTACCTACAATACACTGGGGCAATGAAGAGATTGGGCTGCTTCTCGCGGAGGCATACAGACTCAAGTACATGTTTGCTGATGCACCCAATCACTACCGCCGATAGGTGCTGTCTCCCCATGGGGACCCCGACTGCCCCCATCTCTGATGGCAATCTGATCACTGTGGCCACTGTGCGAGCTGTGGACCCCAGCCAGGAACCACTCCTACTAGAAAAAGCTCACACCCGCCGCCCAGGTCTTAACTTTTGGCGTGCCTGTCCACCACTCCACGTTTCTAGATGTGTCTCTTGGACCACTATCAGTATTCCATGCCATGTGGATGGGTCCAGCTCTGGGAGAGGACAGAAAGGAGTTACAGGGTCGTCTGCTTCTCCGAGAGAAACTGGACAAAGGAAGGGGAAGGCTCAGGGTCTCAACTCACATTGTCCCTACATGGACTGGCTGTCTCTCACCTCCCAGCCCCAACTGATACTGTTGCTCTTTGTGACATAATTTGATTTGATCACAGGTCAAAAACGCCTTACGTTTAAGACTCCTGGCCCCTCTCCTCTCTCTCTAGTTTCCTAGCTCTTCCCGTCTGCCCTAGACTGAGCCACTGAGGGGCAGCTTTTCAAGACCATTGGTCTCAGATGGAGAAAGCACAAATGCTTGTAACTCTGGGAAGAGGCTACACCCAAGGGCTAGGAATTTTTTTTTTTTCTTTTCTCACCAGATGTTTGTCTGCCTCTGTGTGTGTACATGTGTGCATGCATGTGTGTGCACACCTGCATACACATCTATCAGCATTTAGGTATGTGTCTGAATTTCTGTGTCCAGCCTAGCCCCACAAAAACCATCTGGGAAGGGCCCCATCAACAGGTGTCCAAGCATCCCTTGGGAAGGATCAGGGCAAGGGAGCGAGGAGGGGCATTTTACCTCTTCTAACCCTTCTTCCATGATGACCCACTCCAAGATATTATGTGTAAATTGTATTATTATGTATATGGGTAAAGATGTACAAATACATGTCCTCTTTGTAGCAGATATGATTTTATATTTATAACGTGCATCAACATGTGAAAGCAATCTAGGTCACTAGCACAGATGACGTTGCCAGACAAGCAGCTTCAGCAAGTCCAAGTTGCTTTGTGGGTGCCCTCCTGTGAGGGTAGTGAACGGGAGTCTGCTGGAGCCTGTATGACTGAGCAGATGGAGCTGCTCTTAACACCAGTGGCAGCCATCCAAGCATCAGTGTCTCAGTTTTTCTCTCTTGCCCTTTCTTCTCACTCCTCCCTGGGCCTTTCAGGAGCATCTGCCTTGCTCCCTCCCCTTCTTAGGCAGGAAAGGGTATGAAGACAGAGCTCTCCACCCTTCACCCTCCCGGAGCCTCTTGCAGAGGCTGCCCTTTCTGCATGCTTTTAGCCTTTGCCTTTTCCCCGGAACCTGAAGAGGACTTTTGTTCTTAAGTTTTTTTTAAGTCAGCATTTTATTCAGGACAAATGCTGTGACTGACTGGTCAATGCCAAGGAAAGCCATTTCCTGTGTGTCCCTTGGTTTCGGGGTCTTCTCTGAGAGAGGTATTCTCTGTCCCCCGTTGTCACCATCACACCCCACATAGCTCATAAGACCTGTGGCCCATGTTCAGTTTTTGGTGTTTGATAGTGAAGAGGTGGGGAGGGAGGTGGCAAGCAGCTGTCATCCTCTTGGGAAGCCATGCAGTGTCCCCAGTGGATGACATCTTGAGCCTCATTGCCAACAAAGCCCCACAATGCCAGTATGTGTTACATTTCTCATGTGGAGCTGTTTCTCAGGCATTCTTCCTCACCCTTTCCTTTTCCCCTTCAGTGTGCCTCAATAGATTCCTTCACAGAGTGAGAGGGCTTATGACCCTCCCTCAATCGGACTAATTAAAGAAACACTTGTGCTCCCAAGTGGTGGTTTTATTTTTTTAGTTTTTATGTTTGTATGGGAAATTGTGGATAAAGTGAAAGAACTGTAAATAAATAGTGTATTTCCTCCTCCATCTGCCAATTTTTTTTTTTTTTCCCGCCATGGATTTCTATAACCTGGAACCTAAGGAGTCTCCTTTTCTTGGGCTTCTCTTGCTGATATTAGCAAGTCAAGTAAGTATGTGGGGCAAGGCTTCTATAGGGCAAGCAAGGGATCAACAGATTAAAAAAAAAAAAATTCTCAGAGGATGTCACCAAATATTTACTGAACAGCTACTATGTGAAAAGTGCTATGGAAACTATAAAAATGAATAAAAAAACATGGCTCTCGGCAGCTGATGTTGATGGAGCACCTTACACATGCAGGCACTGCAGTAAGCGCTTGACCTGGGGTATTTCATCTACCTTAAAGGAGGTTATGGTGGTTCAAACCCAACAACAACAACAACAACAAAGGAGGATACGATGTAATAATATAATGGGGGTTAGAAAATGGACTTCAGTGCTGGATAAAAGTCTAGAGATACCTAGCTCAACACCCTTGTTCACATAGGAAAACCCAACTCAAGGCCAAGGAAGGGATTGTCAGAGTCAGAACTAGAGTACAGGCAGGCCTCTTGACTTGCCTATTTGGTATTATTTCCATCTAACTATATAGAACTAAAATGTGTTCAAAGATGGGCCCTGCATTTAGGGTCTTCATTAAGGTTTTTTGTGGTGGGTCATTGGTTGGTTTTTCTCTCGGCAACTGTCTTATTAGTGCTACTGTAACAGACTTCATCTCACCTGTTTTTGTCATGTCAGAAATTTATTTTCTCACAGTTTAGGAAGCTAGAAATCCTGATTCAGGGTGCCGGCTGTAATGGAAGGCTTTCTCTCTGTGTCGGCTCTCGAGGAAAGTCATTATCTCTTTTCAGTTTCTGTTCCTTGGTTCCTTGTCAGTCTTCATGTAGTGTGTGTCATCCCCTCTCTGCTTCCTTCTCTTGTGCCTAAACTGCTCTTCTTTAAAAAAAAAAAAAAAATCTCAAAGGTGATTGGTTTAAAACATACCTTACACTGATATGATCTCATTAACATAAAAAAGTCCTATTCCCACATGGAATTACATGCACTGTTACGGGAGGTTAGGATTTACAACACATATTTTTGGGGGACACAATTCAGTCTGTAACAGTAACCTTACTATGAAATGTCTCCAGAAAGGTAGTCGACTGCCTTTTTCGTTTATAAAAAGTAGATTGGAATGGTTTTCCCATCTAGTAACTCTTTAGGATTCACCTGAAACTGTTTCTTGATTTCAGTTATTAGGAATTACCTAAGGATTAAATTCAGCTGAGACTAACAGAGATCAAAAATAACAATGGCTTATGCAACATGGAAATTTACTTCTCCCTCACAGAAAAGTCCAAAAGAAGTCCAGAACCCTGGTCCTAAGTCTTCATGATCCAGGATGACAGCTACTACTCCAGGTATTATATTCACTTCCCAAGTAGCAGGATGGATTAAGGAAGGGAAAAGAAGAATGAAGAATGCACAACTTGCAGAATGTAATCAATGTCACTGAATTGTACCTGTAGAAATTGTTGAATTGGTGTATGTTCTACTGTGTATGTTCTCAACAACAAAAAATAAATAAAATTATTTAAAACAAAGAAAAGAATGAAGGAAATATGCCAGTAGTGTTTTAAGGAAGGTTCTAGGAACCTAAACGAAGCTCACAATATTTCTTTTATAACTCACTGGCCAGAACTTAGTCCTATGGTTGTGCACATCTAGTTGCAAGAGAAGCTGGGGGAGATAGTCTCTTCCAGGCAGCCATACACCTGGGCAAACATCAGTATTCTGTTACTGTGGAGGGAGGGGAGAACAGATATTAGGATTCTAGTAGCAATCTCTCTCATAAGAACTTGAAAATAAAGACCAAACTTTCCCATAGACATATAGAGGGAAATCTGACTTCAAAATTCCAGTGTTCACAATTCACTTGGAACTGAATCTTTGTCATAAAACATTGATAGTATTTCTACTAGATATATAATTTGGACTGTGGCCATTAATTGTTACTGAGGCTAGCAAGGAAAATAACTATCCTGAACTCGTCTTCATTTAAAAATTCAGTTTTCATTCATGCAGGAAGCCAAGCATTTTCTGAAATATGTTTGATCATGTCGAGAGAATTAATGAAAACTTTCAGACGAATCCTGGCAATTTCTGACCTGCAGTTTATCCAGTGTTTCTGCAATCCAAATTTCTACAGTTCTGCTTACAAAAGGTCTACCTTTGTTTTCATTCATCCGTGAAGGAGTAGTGGCACAGATTCCTCAAATAGTGACCTCTTTGCTTCCAAAGGCTAGAACCTTTTGTCGACAGCATTTGGTTGGCTTGGATTGGACTTTGCATGTCAAATGGCTTTGTAAAGATTTGAGAACTGGAGACAGAAACTAAGCCCCAGTAACCACCAAGCCCTTCATACCTCTCCCTGGGACTTCAACACTCATTTCTTGGAGACAGTTTTGGAAGCTGTCATGAACACCAAGGTGATTTTAGACTCATGATGAAACAGATGAAATTCACACAAAATCAGAGAATATAATAGCATATTGCCATGAAACCAAAATCTTCCAAGCCTGTGCCCGGTTGCCACGGTAGTTGCAGCATACAGCTATGCCAAAGCAAAGCATACCCTGAGGAAAACGCTGAATTTGAATTCTTGGAAGTAAGGAGAACTGTTCAGTTTAGCTCTTCAAGTCGTTTGTGAACTGTGGCTTCTGGGGGCTGATGGTCCCTGCCTGAAGTGATAGCTGCGATAAGGAAATGGGAGCCCTGGGGACTCACTGAAGGAGCTCTGGTGGTACAGTGGGTAAGGCATTTTGCTGCTAACCAGAAGGTCAACAGTTCAAACCTACCAGCTGCTCTGCAGGAAGAAGATGAGGTAATTCACTTCCCTAAAGATTTACAGCCTTGGAAACCCTATGGGAGTTGCTATGAGTTGGAATCAACTTGATGGCAGCGGGTTTGGTTTGTTTTTTGGTTTGGGGACTCACTACTTTTGCTTGTCTTAACAGTGACCCCTCTACACCTATCTCACCCCACCGAGTTATAAAGAGAGGAAAATTCAGACCTTCTTTAAAATCTTTTTCCATCATTTTCCTTTTAATCTATCTTATGTCCTTATATTGAAGATAGGTTTCTTACAGACAAGATACAGTTGGGTCTTGTTTATTAATCTAACCTGAGAATCTATTTTTTAATTGGGGAATTTAGACCATTTACAATTAGTGTTTTATTGATATGGTTGAATTTACGTTTACCATCTTATCTGTTTGTTCCTCTGTTGGTTTTTGTTTGTTTGTTTGTTTGTTCTATTTTTGTTTACATTTAAAAACTTTTTTTATTGTGGTAAAAATATATGCCACAAAGCATTTCAACCATTTTTAAATGTACAATTCAGTGACATTAACTACATTCACCTTGCTATGCAACAATCACTACTATCCATTTCCAAGTTTTTTCATTACCCTTAATAAAAATGGGACCCCTTAAGCAATAACACCAGGCTCTCCCCTCCACCTGCCTCAGGTAACCACTAATGAATTTTGGTCATTATGTATGTGCTTATTCTAGTTAAGTGGGCTCATACAGTATTTGCCCTGTTGTTTCTGACTTGTTTTTCTCAGCTTAACGTTCTCAAGGTTCATTCATGTCATAGTGTTATTTTTAGGTGCCTTGGAGTTGGCTACAATGATATGATTTTATTCTAAGTTATTGCAAGCCTACATTTTATATTAGGCACTTGATACCCTGTATTTCTTGCAAAAGAAACACTCTGAAGCTAGGAAGAGAGGAAAACAAGGTGGTAATTATTTATGCCTGATCCCCACTGCTTTCTTTTACTGCCTCTCAGTAAAATCAAGTGGGTAATAAATATTTGAACTAGATACTGATCCTTGGCAAGTTAAAGGATTTAGATGCTTAAAGAAATGAACCAAAAGAGAATGAAGTGGTTGCCTACAATATTAATTTCAAGTACTGATTATAGATACCCCCAGCACATAATAAACATGATGACTCATTATTATGTGCTTCCAAAATATAATAAACTTGATTAAAGGTATAAGAAATATCTTATGACTCTATACTTGAAATCCTATGTTTACATAAAATAGTACTTAATACACAAGCTGTCCAAAGCAGATGGTCCCTGTTTTCCTCCTCACCTACTTCTGGTTTTCTAAAA